GTTATCCTCAGTAACTTTGACTGATTGATTGATTGATTGACTGATTGATTGACTGATTGTTTGACTGATTGATTGATTGATTGACTGATTGATTGATTGACTGACTTATTGATTGACTGGTTGATTGATTTATTGATTGATTGACTGACTTATTGATTGACTGGTTGATTGATTGATTGATTGATTGATTGATTGATTGATTGATTGATTGATTGATTGATTGATTGATTGACTGACTGATTTCTTGTTGTTTGTGTTTCAGGGGAGAAACCCTACGAGTGTTCTCACTGTAAGAAGAGGTTCTCTCACTCCGGGTCCTACAGTTCCCACATCAGCAGCAGGAAGTGCATCGGCTTGATCTCGCGGACCGGATCCAAACCTGGATCCAGACCCGGGTCCTCCCCCAGCTCCAGCACCTCCTCCCCGGGGAGCCCGGCCCTCGCTCAGCTGAGACACAAGCTGGAGTCCCGGGGGCCCCTGGAGCATCGGGGGCCCTTGGAGCACCCCGAACAGCAGCCGGACATCAAGGCCGAGCCGCTGGACTTCAACGAGTACCGGCTCCTGATGGCCCAGCACGGGTTTGGGGGTCCGGGGGTCTACTTGAACGGGGGGGTCCACAGCTCCTCCCAGAACCCCCTGCTGGGCCTGGGGGGCCGGGGGGGGCTGGATCTGCTTGGCCTGGGGAACCTGTGCGAGGTCCAGAAGGTGCTCCAGATCGTGGACAACACGGTGACCCGGCAGAAGGTGGACGGGAACCCGGAGGAGGTCCAGAAGCTCCGGGCCTACATGAAGGAGCTGGGGGCCCAGATGGAGGGGGGGGGCAGCCCCACCAAGACCATCATGGACTTTACGCTGCAGAAGGTGAACGAGGCCAGGAACCTCATCGAGTCCAAGAGGAACTTCAAGAAGGAGAAGCCCAGCCACTTGGGGGGGGGGGATCCAGACGGGCAGAACCACTTCCTGTTCTGCTGCCAGTTTTGTAAGCAGGCCTTCCCAGGGCCCATCCCGCTGCACCAGCACGAGCGGTACCAGTGCCGCAAGAACCAGGAGATCCAGGCGGTGCTGCAGCCGGACAGCAGCCCCCCCGAGGGGTCCACCACCGAGACCGCCACCAGCCCTCCCCACCCCTTCAAAGACCTGGTCTCCCTGCTGAGGAACTACTTTGCACTGAACAGCGATCCCAGCCCAGACCAGCTGCTCCGGATCTCCCTCGCTGTGGGGCTCCCGCAGGACTTTGTGAGGGAGTGGTTCTCCCAGTGGAGAAACCAGAACCAGCAGGGGGGGGGTCTGAAGAGGAAGACCCCGACCCCAGACCTCTGCCGGTCCCCCATGATGCACTTCACTAACGGAGACGCCTCCCATAGACTCAGTAAGACCTCCAGGCCGACCGGGGGGGATGCTCTGGACCCCCTGAGGACCGACACTCCCTCCCCCCTCAACCTGTCCTCCACCTCCTCAAAGACCTCCTACACCCCCAACAGCCTGGCCTCAGACGACCCCCCTGGGGACTCCCCCCTCGACCTGTCGCTGCCCAAACACCTGGTCCAGAAGTTGCTGTCCAAGAGGCCCCGGGTCAACGGGTTCAGTGAGGACCTGGTCCACATCAAGAAGGAGGTCTCGGAGGGGGGCTCCAGTCCCCTGTTGGGAAGGAACCCGTTCTCCGGAGGTCCGGTCTACTCCTCGCTGCACCCCCACGGAGCTTTCCCTCCACCCAGCTTCCTCTCCGCGGCCCAGGTCCCGGGCCTCAGCTCGTACCCAGGTCTGGACCCCCTGAGCTTCCTGCCCCACATGGCCTACAGCTTCAGCTCCTTCAACGACATCCAGCAGAGGAGGAAGTACCAACGGAAACCTGGGTTCCAGGTAAACCAGATCTCAGATAGTGTCCTCACAGATCAGTGTTAGCACCGGGTTTCAAGTACACGGTCCGGGTTGCTGTTGTTTACTCGCATGTACGTGCGAAAACTGACATTACATACATTCAGTTAATGTAAGGAAAGGTTTAAATCACATTTCAATAAATTCTCCAAGTTTGATCCGACCCCTGAAGACCATGAGGCCCACAGGGACCTTGATGTGGTCATAGATTAGGGTGGGGGGTGTAAGGGTCCTAACAACCCCCAAAAAACTCATTTAAACACTATATTTTACAAATGTTTCAAACACAAGTTTCGTTTCACCAGATCTTCAGTGTGTGGTTCATTAAGAGAGACTCTATATGAGGGTATCTCTGGACCCCCCCCACAGATACACCGTGTTGTTGTTGATCAACCTTAAACACCTGTTGTTCACCTTCATCTCCACCCCCCCCAGCCCGCCCCCATATGTCCCCCCTGTTTTAGGGATTTACCTTTAAGCTCTGTCCAGACTGTGGATCGGGGGGGGCAGTCAGGTGTGGGATTATCAGGAACTAAAGGGTGCGTGTGTGTGTGTTTGCGTGTGTGTGTTTGCGTGCGTGTGTGTGTGTGCAGGTGGATTTTCCTGACGGGGACTTCCTGCTGGACGATGTGTCGGACAGGAAGCTGAAGAAGACAGAAAGCGGTACGTACGCCTGTGAACTCTGCGACAAAACATTCCAGAAGACCAGTTCCCTCCTCAGACACAAATATGAGCACACAGGTATATATCCCACACACTTATATAACCGCCCCCGTGCACCTTCCTCGATATACCTGATATGCTATTATAACTTCGTCTACCCCCCCCCCCCACTTCTGAATATCCCTCCACAGCTTATTATTAGCCGGTACAGTTTTTAAAAGAACATTTAAAAATATGTCAGAAAATAAACATTACAGTAAAATTAAAACAAAATCTTATTTGCAAAGATAAATTCTGCATATCTGTAGAAAAAAACAGAAACAATAAACTTAGACACAATAACAACAGCTGCCTATAGTGCTGAGCTAGCTAATGTATGTTAACGTACGCTAATGTATGTTAACGTATGCTAATGTAGGCTAACGTAGCTAAATAAAGTAGCTCCTCTGCATGATGCTAACTAGTTAGCTATGGCTAGGTGTTTTAACTTTAACAGCTCAGCATTGTTTGCACATTAAACATTTGTTTTTATACATGCTGTTAGCACTGTATACTTATATTTGAATATATATATATATATATGTTTGTGATTTTTGTGAAAACATTATATAAATATGTATAAATGTGTCTACAAATAAAACTATGATCACTGTGTCATACATGCCAACCTTTCCAAATCCAAAAGAGGTAGGTTTGCACGCCCAAATGAGGTAATCAGGTTAAATGGAACCCCAGTAATCACATGTATAAACCATGTATTTAACATATATTGCATCATTGTATGCATTTTTCAGAAAAAGTGGTAGTTTGGTAAACAGTGACATCAACGACATGTCTGGTCTGTAAAATGTCCAAAAGTAAAAGAATGGGAGATAAAGTCTCCACATGTTATTATATTTGTAATGTGTTTCCTCTTTCAGTTGAGACAGTGTAGATGAAGGATGTGTCAGGATGTAGAACTCTTGTGTGAACATTGAATAAAGCCAGGTTCATATTCTTGTTGACATATTAGAGTCAAAGGTTTGCACAGAGCGAAATATCTTTGTGTTGCGCGATATATCAGAAAATACTGCATTAAAAAAGTCATTTCCTGCATTTTTCTACTGATAAAGTGTGATATACATAATGTACAGGCTTTCAGATTGCTGTAGTTCACTAAACAGAGACATTAACGACATGTTTGGTGTTGAAAATGTCAGAAAAAGTGAAAGAATGGGAGATAAATATCCCCAAATCTCAAAATTGTATTATATTGTGTGTGTGTTTGTGGTCCTCTTTCAGTTGAGACACTGTAGGATGCTTCCGGAAAAGACCAAACACTGGATGTCTTTCAGTCGCCAACATGTGTTTTCGAGACACTGATATTAACGGGGAAATCCTGCAGGACTCAAATGCCTCGTCGGGGGTAACGCTGCCTTACCCCCGGTCTGCACGTTGTTTCTCTTTCAGAAACACAGAGGACTGTTTGTATGATGCGATCACAGACACGCTGCAAACGATGTCCACCAAAAGTCGAGTCCAGTGTCTTTGGAGTGTCATTTGTATTTGTTATAGTTTGGGAAGATTGAAAATCGGTAGGGAAAGCCAGCTTAGGCGGTAGAAACATGTCAAAAGCGGTAGACTACCGCCCAAATCGGTAGGGTTGGCAGGTATAGCCTGATGATAGCGCGATATGAAACGTTAGAGGATGTCTACCAGAATTCAAGAACAAACTATAGCCTACATGGTCATGTGGCAAACAAGACTCCAGTTGCCATTACTCCAAACACGCTACGAATAAACACTTATGGGTAAAAATCGGTTGTATTTCTTCCATGGGCTGAAGTACAATTCAGAGAGAGCTGCTGGAATGGCGGTTCCCTTTTTTCCTCAAAGGCTGAGAGAAAATGCTTTCACAGGCGGGAGGGCTGCTTCTAACACACATACTGCTGTGTTAGGAGCAGCTGTTATAAAAATCTCTGTTTGTCTGCGTATTGCTTTTTTCCCATAATGCTTTGTCCCCTGATCTTTTTGGAGAAGGACAACTCGCTGACAGAGCCTTCAAGGCTTGAGGCGATTATGACACGGGGGCACACGGTTACACACGGATTCTTCTCCAAACACCGCAGGAGATGCCAACCTTCGGTGCTCCGGTGCACCACTTGCTGCTACGCTGGCAACAATGAAAGCACCGCCGCCATGGCAATACATGAAGGAGAAAACAATAACCAGGGAAGGTCACAGGGCTTTGTATTTCAGACTGTGGATCATGGATGACTGATTTACTGTGTGGGCCGAACCTGGCTTGTTCTAGTTTGTTTGGTTTGGAAGATTGAGAGGCTAGCGCTAACAAGGTCCCACGGGGTGCTTAAAGAAAGTCTGTATCAAGCAATGAACCAAAAAGTGTATTTTTTTTTTTCATTCAGCAGTTCGAGTCATGTAATTTACAAAACTTTCACTGACTGCTGTAACAATGGATATAAAACGGTCAAAGGCCATAAGGCTCTCACTGCCCCAATCATTATTTCTTAGGTTGATAAAAATAATCATCCAAGTGATTTATCATGCAAAAGTCTCCAATGTAATAACAGCATTGTTATTTTATTTGACATTTTCCAGTTTTTCTATCATTAAAATGAAATATATTTAGGTTTTGAAATGTTGGTCAAACAAACAGCTGTTTTTAAACAACACTGTTCAGTTACTTACATCAACTTTGTAGCAGATAGCTTGTCATTTTAAAATAATTGTTCATTGTAGTTGAGCTCTGCTTTAGATCTTCACTACACAAAATAGTCCCTAAGGCTGTAGTAAAACTTGAATGAAAATAGCCCAAAATGCTTCTCCTTGAAACAGCTTTTGTGTGTGCTTTGAGACAAAAAAGCTGAGACTGTTTGCACTACAGTACAAAGGGCCCAGATAACAATTAGGATGATTGTAGTTAAGTTACACGTTTGTCTTTTGAGAAAATAATTTTTTCGTCTCTTGCAAAATGTACCAACAAGTTTTTGATTCGGAAGAAACACAGACGGCTCAATATTATTATTGTAATTCATTCTCAGGCTATTGTGCCAAAAGCAAAGGAGCTTAGGAAATACTCAGGTTCCCCATCGCTGCTTTGAAGAGCTGCCATGAACACCTTTACTTATGTAATCATCTGTTTTTTCCTCACCTATATCAGATATTTTCTTGTTGTTTTTGTTCTCAATTTTAAACTCAACGGCAATAACAATTGAATAAAACCAAATAACTTAATTTAGAAATACCAGTACTTCAAATCAAAGCAGTCATTTTTGAAAGGTGCATATGTTGAAAATACCTTTCTAGGCTGAGGGTACCCTTTTGTGAGCAAACATATGATATCCTTATATGAAGTGAGTGGATTTGACAGCTTCCCAGAGAGTGTTTGTATTGGGGGTTACATAAAGGAAGGGGGTTTGTATTTTGGCTTATGCAACAACCACTTCATCCATATACATCTGAAGGATTTAGCTTTAATACCTGCGACTACACCGCAGGCTACTCTGGTTCCTCAATTAAGGAAGTCAACATAGAAACATGCCTTAATATTATAAGGCTATATATCTTATCAGCTGCTATAGGAAATGTGATAGGCAGTGCGGAGCGGCTTAGAGCCATATTGACTTTAATAGTGACTGGCATCTAAGGGCTTCCCTCCCAATGTGGTGAAAAACATGTCCCCTCTGCTTAGCTGGCCCTGCAGCTCAAAGTGAGGGAAATGAGCTGTAATTAGTTGATAGAGAGAGGTGCAGGAAATGCCACATGAATGCACTGGGATCAGACACTGGAGGATACTGCTACTGTAGCGGAAAAACAGCATAGGGTTCAGGCGATACACTTGCAAAATGGAGCTCAATCAGGGGTGCACAGGTTCAAACCCCACTGCAGTCAGCATGTTGTTGTGTCCCTGGGCAACACACTTCACCCCAAATTGCACCTGTTGGGATTGCCCACAGTATTGAGTATGTAAGTCACTTTGGATTA